TACTAACAACTACAAAACGTATTTGGGAAAGCAAAACACACTGGCGAGCTTGCCTTGACTCATTTTTACGTGCATATTATATGCAAAAAGGAGTGTCAACCAATGAAGTACGTATTCATCGATGACAGTCATTTCGATCGATCAGCAAATCAGTCTTCAAGGTTGTAACTCTGCTATGCAAGCAAGGTCTTCAAAGTTCAGTCTATTTGATTCTTCACTGAGACCAAATGGAGTGCACGTGAAGTTACAAAGATTTGAACTGGCGGAGAGGATATCGCTCACTTTATCAAACTGAAAGTTTCTGAGCATGATCCCGGGTTTCACGCTGCTATCAGACTACATATCATGCTGTTTACTCAGGCTCAAGCCTGGCTGAAGCTTCCGGTCGATAATTTACTCTCCATTTTACTGTCCCGATAAAACTTTAATTATTGGGAGCCCATCATGCACCGGTAATTATGTTTCAATAGCTTTTTACAGTAATATAAAATAGTGAAAATTTGGTATAGTATTCTATTAACATTCGAGCAGTAATTTCAAACAGGATTCGTGAACTTTTGCTTAATGTGCTTCCGAGATGGTTCAGTATTCTTACCTAATGGTAATCTTTCGTTTTTATATTGTCTGTGGTCGCCTGTAGTATTTATAATGCTCTAGTAAATCAAAATCGAATGATGCGATATCAATTGAGCCAGACAGCCTTTCACGGCTGCTTCGATAACCTAACCATTTCCCTGGTGGATAAATCATCTTGAAATCATCACAATATTCATGCGGGATGGAGTATAACCCCTCTTTGCTACAATGAGGCTTTACGTAATTTCCAATAATCCAATAAAGGTATCACATTTTCAAACAAGTTGTTGACAAGATAGTCCTGGAGAATGAGAAGCCTTTCTATCTATGGTATGTTTCTGAGTTATAGACGATCCAATCATTCAGGTCCCTAGTATTTCACTCCACAAAATTGGCTTTGTATTGTACTGCATCCTTAAAGAGGAAATAAAAACAGCACATCCAGACAGATACGACCTCTTACATGCGAGAATAATGGAGGATTTGCTTCAATTTCATAGAAGGAATTCGTCGTGTATAGAGCAAATGAAGCGTAAACTGAAAAGGACGCACTGGACAGCTGTTTCGACCTGGTTGGGTCTCGGTGGGTTGTGCTATACCTTGTAGATTGAAAGTGATAAAAGGTCTGATCAGTTGCCCCGTGGCCGCATGGGTAGCATGTTTGCGTTCTGCCTGTGAGGTCCCGGGTTCGCGATCCTCAGTTGTGTCGATGGATTCGCACTGCTGATGAGACCCAATCAGGTTGAGACAGCTGTCCAGCGCTTCCCAGATCTTCAGTTTATTTATTTGCTCTATACACGACGAATTCCTTCTTTGAGATACTTCTTACTTGTCGTATGATCAGCTCACTTCAGATTCTGTATTTGAGCCGCTGCAGACTGGCCGAAGTCACGCACATTCAAATTGGTAATGACTGACGTTGAACTCAGGTCACTGCTGGATCCGTTGTTGTATGCCGTACGATTTTATTGATGCAGAACTTGGTAGGTGCATATCACTACATACACATTTCACATTAAGCAGTAAATGAATGACTGGACAAACTTTACCTGGAAGCAAAACGACCGGTTTCACGGTACTTGCCGGTCGTCAGGAGTAAGTAATCTTTTGTCAGTCCATTCATATACTTGTTCCCAGGAGGGGTATTTTATCGTCACATCAACCTCCTCATTCGCAACGCCGGAATTTCTGACAAAATATACACCTCCTGAGCACAAACGTATGAATGAGCTGTCAAAAGATTACCGAATACACATGCTTGACGACCGGCAAGAACAGCAAAACCGGTCATGTACTTCCAGGGAAATTTTGTTCAGTCGTTCATATACCACATTTTGTAAAATATTCAATAAAGACGCTCAAGTCACGTTTGTGCAAAAAAGTTTACCCGGTATTGCAAATGACGTTATTGTGACGCAAATATGTATAGACATTTTTGATCAAAGCTTTGTAGACCGACTTCAGCGCGGTTGTTGAAACACGATATCGAGTATGAAATCGCCAGTAGGCCTCCAACGAACTGTATTCAGCCTCCCTTTCGAATGAACAATATTGATTTCTTGTTCCAACTGAAGTCGTTGCTCCTGTACACCCACCGTTTCAGTTGACAGTTCCAAATAATGAAATAAACCGTTGATCTGGCTGGAACAGAGATAAACTCGGCTTCGGGCAGTTTACTTTCTAATTATGTCTGTCGGATCATTGTCCAATCCAGATAAACCGAGCTGTTTACATTTTGCTTCCTAATGTACGCGTGTGGAGCGATAGACTTAGTCAAATGGCAACTCAGGCACGTTCACCATTGACTTGTACGATTGGAAAAGATAGTTTGTGGAGCGGGGGTAGGAACTCAACTTGAAACCAGTAGCTTGAAAGTTGTGGTTACCTATTGTGAATGTTCGTGAGTCTTACCAGCCAAACAGACTACGGATCCAAGACAAAGAGTTACTAACCACGAGAAAGGCATGTAATCAGCCTAGTGGAACCGGGGTATTAGGACCAGCGGAATCTCCTGAATAGCATAGAAAAATGAATGCGAATTCCAATAGATCGATCCAATCACAACCGGTGAGCGCTAATCATCTGCTTTTTTTTTGTTTCACTTTATTTATTGATAAAAACTAACCGAATTTTGCTCAAATATCACGTGTTCCCATCGAACCATCCCGAATGATAACCAATGCGCCACGAATAGCTTGTTCTAACCGAAAGAAAAAAGGATCGTGGAACGCATGATATAGAACCCAACAGTGGATTTCATTCACACTGGTAGGAAAACTCGTGAAATGGTACTTTGGCAATGAGTCGATCATCTCGAGAATGATTCTGCACCTTGATTATTACCTCTTTGATCATCATTTGCTGCGAATGGGTAGTGTTCAACCGGGGCCAGACTCGATTAGCCATTAAAACCACCAACTCAGACGGACCCTCATCTCTGACCTTAGTGAAGCAATCCTTGAATGTTTTAGTTGAGTAAAAAGCTTTTGGCACGCACCTGTGGTTGAAACATATATAGTGTGTGAGGGCATCCGCATGCAATCTGAATCACTCTCTACTTACCATGACAAGAGAAAGAAAGGCAACAGTTGAACAATATACTATAAATCCCCCGCAATTATTGGATCTCAGATTATTTGGTGAATGTTCATGGTAGTAAAGACCAGACGAATTGTGAACTGAAGAGTTTGGATGCACTGTACATTTACGTGGACCTTGCTGGGTCTCGTCAGCAGTCAGCAAATGCATCGATTCAACTAGAGATCCTGAATCCGGGACATCACAGACAAAACATTCCGGCATACTTAGGCACTTGATAGTCGGCTAATAACGAATCAGATTGTTTCATTTTGTGCACACGCGATATGGTACATAATCTAACTTTACAAGCGTGTTGCAAGCAGAAACATCCGAAGGCGTCTGGAATAACAATCAAACCGTCACGTCTGGTCCGAGATGGTCAGGTGATATTGAATGTCAGATCAATTAGAATGATGATCACTCCCTCGGTTTGGTGGTCAAGCGGTAAAGGTTATTGTTACATACGTACCTGCGTACATTCTGCCAACCTGTGAATCGTTAATTTGCTCATTCCACAGACATTATCGATTGATATCTACTCAGATCGATGATCAACCTCACTCACTTGCCTATGCCAATACTGCCGGCCGACATTGGCCCGATTCTGATTGGCTGTTAGTTCTATTGCTGCCTTGTTGAACATACGCTTGACAAGAGTGATTGTGAACTAGTCATAATCAACCTATTCCACCCTGTGTACGGTTATTCTACTTTGCTGGCAGGCTACAGGTTCGAGACTACACAGTTTGAAATCCAAACATAACAGTCATCAAATTATGGGTCCGAGAATGTGTGCTCGATTCCCACCAATGACCGTCTGACTTTTCTCATTCTCTATGTGCTGTGTGGTAGCCCTTTGATTTCTCGCTTCCCCTTCCTGAAAATTCTACCCTCGTGAACTGAATCAAAAGAGATGAAATGAGAAAAAAAAAAACTGAAAAAGTTTGACATCCTCAAGTCACATTTTGGTATCACTGCAGAATCAATAAAAATGGTGCTTTCGAGTGATGAATCACTAAACAGGAAAGATATCCATATTTTGGTGAATATAAAAAGAGTATTTCAGACAATTAGCGCAGGCTAAAGACCATATTGTACTTTGTGGACCTAAAAATTATGCTAAATTCTGGCAGATGCTTGAATAATGTATAGTAAGTTATAGAGTTCAACTCTTAATATCACATCACTCCCCTCTCGCTGATATTTAAATTTGTTGGTGAATAATTGATTAACTTTGATGTTCTTGTGCTCATGCGTGTGCCGCAGGATGTTCCCTATGAACGAATGTACTAAACAACCGATTGTGGGTCGAGTTTCCGTGAGGGCTGGAATCGTCGACGGCACAGGAGGTTCTCCGCGCGGCGAGTGTAACCTGACAATCGGAAGAAGAGGAAAAATATAAACTCGATAAGAGAGACAAATGGTTTTAGTGAAACGTGAATGCAACTCGTTATCAAACTGAATGTTTTTTCATACACGCCTGAGTACAGACCCTGTGCCAAACAGATCACTACACAATAATCGTTATAACATGATAAAGTTACATGATTTATTTGTCGGCAGAATACTGGTAGGTTACCCAGGGAAAAGCAGATTTGAGGGATTCACAATCGGAGCCTAGACCCGCAATACGGCATGTGTGTGTGTGTGTGTGTGTGTGTGAAAACCGTAATCCGTGGGAGGCCGGTGTTCAGTTTATCTCATCAAACACCCTTTGGACGTGGTCAAATGTTCAAGATGCCTAATACATTTCGATGCCTAGTCGAGTCGGTGACCACTGCCACAATTGGACAGGTTTGAGTGAGTGTGGTTTGTACATCTCCTCTCGGGTGACTTAGAATCAGGTGTTGTTAGACAACTCCCTCAGGTAAATTGTCAGCGGTTCACTGACCCGGGTTGTTTATCGTCCTCTCATTTTGGTAAGAAAATACCTCCACCACGGGAAGGCGTTAAGTAAGGGTATTTGAAGTATTTGGGCATATGGAAGCACTTCGTGAGGGGCAAAAGCAGGGTGGTAACCAGTGGCCACCCGAAACACTCACCCCGATCATATTGAGATTTTCAGAGGCCCTCAAGCTGAAAGGCGAGTTACCAAGGCCTGTAAGAAACTAATATTAAAGTGGTCATTTGGTGTGTATCGTTAAAATACACCGATGAGACCTAGATTTGGACAGGAAATCGACTGAAATAAAACCGATCCCCGACCCCTCCCTTTCTGTGCCCGAGATACAAAATGCTTTCCAGTTTTTCGGACATTCATTTACGCTCAACCTCGGGGAACATCATAAGCAGAAATTGGACATGGTAAGAGGTTCTGTGAAGAACGAACGAACGAACAAACGAACCACAGGGGACAGTTGACATTGCACAGCATGTGCCCATTCACTTACTCATCCGGCCACACCACCACCAGCAGCAGCTTGATCGAACTGGGTGCATGATGTGGTGTGAGAAGAGGGTGGTGGTGGTGGTGGTGGTGGTGATGGTACGGGGGGC